GTGATGCCGAGTCTAAGAGTAATCATACTAAGTTGTAATATGTGAAAAGTCAATTCGCGGGCCACATCCGGCCCGTGAGAGAAAAAAGTTTGGCCCGCCCTAATTTAAAATAATGTGGCATGAAAATTCATACGCAGCAACAGAAAGCTACATTAACTTACATCGTGTCTACACTGGACGCGAGCGGCGTGGTGCAATAAAATACAAGAACTCATTATAATCAGTGATGCTGTCTTGGATGCGGCGCGACACAACAAATCCCTGACAGTAAATTGCTGACTCGTTCTATTTATAAGGGAACTGACACAACGTTCAAATGATTTGCAATGCTTTGTCGCGTCCAGTGTAGATACGAATGATGTGACAGCAAAAACATGGTGAGTGTGTAGAAAAGAAAAGTGGACATGGAAAATAGATGATTCAAATGTGAATGGACTGAACAGTTTTGTTAGAACGAGCCGTTTTAGGTAGGCGTGGCTGACTCTTAACTTTTATAAAGAATATCTCTTTGGATTTGAGACTTTAGTGTTTGCAACTTTACAGATCTTCTTTATGAACCAAGAGCTTGTAACACTCCAAAGATAAAGGAAAAATTGAAATCGCATCATATGACCCCTTTAATTAACCGCTTTTATGAATTATTCAGGTCCTAATGGGAAGCAGAGTGAATCCAAATAATAAACGAAAGCAGGAATCCCAACAGGAGTGGCTCTAAACACCCCTATTAGCTTAGCACGCAAATAGGGCTGTCGCGATTCGTCGATTTTATTGGACTATTCGATTTTTAAAAATCCTCAACTTCATTTTGCTCGCGTCGACTAACTGGCAAAATACCAGAAGTGGTGCATTTCATGGAGAGAATCGGGGTGTGTCTCATTTAGAAGGCTGCGCCCTCCGGAGGTCGAATCCTCTGTAGGATGCATATACGAAGTGTCCTCAACCTAGAATTAAACGAGACGGCCTTCGTAGGACAGGCGGAAAAGGAAACAGGAAGTATCACGTTGCTATGCCAACACATTTAGAGCATCGTTGCACTCTCACACTACTTAAATGAAGGAAAATTATTTCTACATTTGGAAAGTAATTTGAAAAAAAATGCTTTTACTTGTTTTATTTTGTTGAGGAGCTGCAGCGTACGTACAGCAGACATCTGTTAGAGAAAATAAAGGAGGAGGATATTAAAAGTTTATCCGTTTTTACCGAGGCGATTTAAGGTAAGTTGTAAACACCACATCTGCCGGCGCCGGCATTTTTCAAATTAACAACGGTTGTTTATGGCGACGCAAAGAATTGTGGGTTATCTGTAGCAGCGAAGGATCCACCTCATGCATCCTCTGAATTCCTGTGAAAGGTGGTCGCATTCGAAGGTCGCATTCGGAGTGTCCTACTTGCTTTTCTGAAATGAGACAGCCTCGATGACATATGCAGCCTTCGAATGCGACCTCCGGAGGACGCAGCCTTCCAACTGAGACACAGCTCATAAAACACATTATTAGACTGTTTCCCAAGGCTGCATGATATATTAAACCCATTTAAAAATAATAATTAAGCATAATTGTGAATTCACAAATGCTACGATTTAAATAATTATATGCAATGCTTTAATTATTTGCATGCGTGTAGGTTAAGTACATGCGTCACAGCGGCTCCGTTCACAGTACTGTTATCATTTACACGTGTGGAGCGTCTCAAACTCCATCTCTGCATGTTGTTGTGAGTTTGGGTTTATTATAGCCTGCGCCATTTCATCAGATTTGTAAGGTAAATCATTTATAAATCTACGCAAACTCAGGAGAATACATCGCTTTTTCAAAATAAACGCTCAAACCCTCACTCTGAGTTTACACGATTTGATGTCCACATATTCTTTTAATTACAGTGGCTATAGCATTTCTGTCCTAAAGAAATGGCCAAATATGATAGATTAAGTGGACATTTGAATTAAATGGTGCTTGGTCAATATTAAACAAGTAATTAGATCGCACAGTAATGTGTAAAGGTCATTCTTACACTATAATACTGAACTTTGATTTCAGTGATTTAGATATGAGATGGATGCACTTTACTTTTGCTTTAAAAAAAGGATTTCATAGAAATTTGGATTTCATTTGGTTCAATAAAATATAGTTTAATAAAATATTCTTAAGTAAAATTGTTGATTTTTTTGTGGGAAATTAATCGTTTAGATTCATCGATAAATTAGTCGATAGATGAATCAAAATAAAAATAGTCGTTAGTGGCAGCCCTACACGCAAACAGGAACTACGACAATTAACGTGGAACAAAGACAATGGACGCACTTCTGGAATTCAGCTATAACAGCCAGGATTCATTCAAAAGGATCAACATTTACCATGTAGAAAAGTGTGACTAGTCTTGTCAGGCTGGAACAATTAGGACATAAAGAACACTGGTCACAGTGAGAATAGGAACAACTAATAACTGAATTTGACCAAGTTAACAAGGTTTGTGGCATCAAGGATGTTTCAATGCTTTTTTAGGCAAGTAAACAAAATAGCGTCAAGTGCAACTGTCTATATATTCTGCTTTGTTTCCAGAGGTATGTTCATAAAATAATCAGTAGCTACTTATTACAATTGAATGGAAAGATATTTTGACCACAAAGAATGCACACAATTGCGACTAAAACAACACGGTAAAAAAATTGTATGAGCTATCTACTTAAAAAAAAATCATGGTAACAATATTACACATAATAATTTGAGAAGTTTTTAAGGCTTGATATTTTAATGGAATATACCTGAATAAATCATGTAAAATCTCCTAAATTATTTAATCTAACACAATGATTTTAATATCATTAGTGAAATATGCTCATTTATTTTAAGTTGATTCTCAAAAGTCCGTGATTTTGAGTAAGGCCTGTTTGTATTTGACTTTGAGTTATTTTGTACAATTAAAATACTGTATAGAGCCAAATAGCTCAAGTAGGAAAACACGTTACTGCAGTAGCATTACCAAGGCTACTGCTTATTGAACTAAGCATCATGTCTCATATTAGTACATGCAGTTATCCATAACCATAAGCTCTACTCTTCTGGTAACGATGCACAATGTAAACGATAGAAACTTCAACATAACAGAAACTCTTTCAAATGTCAAACATAACTGAACATTAAACATTAATAGATGTTTCCCTTTCCTCAAAAACACATAAAGTAGCAATATTTACTCTCCATAGCCAGTCATATGCAAAGCATGCTGGGAACTAACAATCACAGCCTAAATAAAACTGCAAAATTGAGCTAATTCTCTTAAAATAAATAGGTAGCCTTCTTTTCTTAAGTTTCCTAAAAAAATATGAGCAAAACATAATCTCTTGATTTTATTAGTGAAAAGTTCTCAATATTTTCTCTACAACACTGAACCACAATTTCTTTAAAGGGGTCCTATTATGTTTTTTCACTTTTTCAACTTTAGTTAGTCTGTAATGTTGCTGTCTGAGCATAAATAATTCTGCAAAGTTACAAAGTTCAACGTCCACTTCAAAAGGAGATATTTGATTTAACAGAAATCAATTTTCAAAAACTAAAATGAACGACTCGTTTGGACTACAACGCATATTTTCCGGGATTTGTGATATCACAAATACTGACAAATGGGACGAGACCTGGTTGAGCTGCACTAGAGAAGGCAACGAGTGTCATCACTGTGTCTGAGACACGCTAGCTTTCCCAAGCCAGATGAACTTAGAGTGGTTACAATCATCCGGGTTTAAATCACGCTCAAATTGATTTGATTTTGATGCAATATTTACACTGAAGCTCACAGGTGGCTGTGGTAAGGGGCATGACATTTCCCGACCAGGCACCAAGTGCTGCCAATCACAACACACACTGGCCCAGCTAACCAATCACAGCACATTTCGTATTTCAGAAGGCGGGCCTTCATTTGATACAGGAACTATTCGAGCCGTTCGTGCCAGACTGGGGAGAGAGGTGTTGAAATAATGTAAAATATGTGAAAAATAATGTGTTTTTCGAGCAACCTAGTATGAGAGCCTGTTCTAGTACATCCACAAAACAAAATCAAGACTTTGTAAAAGAGCATAATAGGACCCCTTTTATAAAATATACACACTATTTTTAATTATCACCTTAATTTTTTTAATGAAAATTACAAGACCCATTATTTCTATTTTACAGTGAACCAATTATTTCTACACTGATGCTTAGTGTGATTATCACATCCCAAAGGCTGTGACAAATAAAATAAATATATGTGCTGTGTGTTTCAAGTGCAGCACTGTGTTCATTTACATGCAAGCAGCTCATGATGTAAATGGTGCTCCACAAAAGCTACATCTCTGCATCTACTCTTGAGTTTCGGTCACTTATAAAGTGCATTTGGGAACGCAACATGTGCCAACCATCTTCCCAAACTTATAATGACAGACACTTATAAACCTAAAAGACTTAAATACTCCCTGTGGAGACCATATTAGTATTATAAAATAATTTTGCAGTTGTACTGTAAATTTAAATTTTTAAATTATTATTATTATTTTCTTATACTATTTTCATTTTACAGTGGATAACTACAACAATAATATTTCTTATTTTAATATTATTCAATTTAAAATATAATTATTACTCTTATTATTTTTATGCACAACCTGGAGCTTAAAAACAAAAATATTTTGAAATCACTTTTTTTCCTGAAAAATTATTTACATGAAATTGCAGGCCTGAAAGCTTCCATGATAGTGTATTATTGTGTTAACAATGATTTTGTATAAATGTGACAATCCTGGTTGGTCAATTTGTTTGTCAGTCCAGTGAGTTATTCTTGTCCAGAATAAGCTGCAACATGGACAAGCATGCCTTAAAGCTAAAGGCCATGTCATCTTCCATATAATATATTGTGTTAACAACTCTGATATTGTCAAATAAGCTCAGTTCACACCTCTGCCTTATAGTAAAGTTCACAGGCAATGCGAGACGGCCAATTCTCACCTCACCCATCTTTATTTAGAAATGCTTACAGGCTGGCACTTTGAGTAAACATGGTCAATCACTTTTAATCCCTCCATATGGAACCTGCAATCAAGACAGACTGACTCACTTAATAAAGCTTCACAAACAGGCGTCAAGGCCCTGAACTTCCATTATATAAACTACAATATTAATGGAATTAAACAGCTATACTTGATACTGCTGGTGTGACTGACAGAAAGCAAAAACTGTCTAAATAGTGCCAAGCCAAGTGTAGCTGATACAGGACTGAGCTTCCATGCAACGATTTGACTCACATTGTTATTTGCTCTGTGCTTTTTTTAGTTTGTGGATTCAATTCTGACAGGCAAATAAGACTGTTACATGAGTAAGACGGGCAGTACAATAAAGCAAGGACGATACAAAAGAATGCTGCACTTCCCTCAGCAGTCTAACGTGAATGCTTGAAAAACAAAAAAACAAGCACAGAATGAGCCTGCCCACACAAATAGTCAAAGAGAGAGAGAGTGAGCGAGCAAAGAGGAAAGTAATAGTGAGGTGGCTGCCTGTCATTGCTCTTCTTCTGCAAACTGTACAAGCTTCAATTGTTATGCAACCAATGATTTAACTCTCAAATCTAGATCTAAAATTAGTGATGATACTAGATTCCACCACAGGCAAATTTCAGCATATGTCTCCGTTACAAACACCAGAACTTCCAATTCCTGAGACCAGCACCAGCTCCAATGGGGTGTTTTGAGTCAATTATCCAATTTCCTGAAATTACCTTTGGACACACAGATGAGAGCAAATGTGTTTTAAAAAAAAGGGCCAGGATTAGGACCATGTGAAGAGAAAAGAGCGAGGGAGATGGTTTAGTCACACTGCCAGTGGCCAGGTTGGGGTTGAGGCCAAAAGTTAGTGCACAGTAATGTGTAATCAAGTGGGCAAAAAAAGGATTGATTTTAGCCCTGCTAAAGCCAGTAACTCTGACTGGGACTCCGGCCAAAGATTTTTCTGCAGGGCTGTGACACTGGTAAAGGACTTTACAGGATGAGAGGAGGGAGGGGGGAAGCAAATGGGGCAGTTTGTTACAAAAAAGGAGAGTCAACTCTATAAAAATGAAAAGACCAACTGGGGTTCCTCACACTGCCACACTGACAGATCCCTCTAGAGCAGCGATTCCCAACCAGAGGTATGTGCACCCAAGGAAGTACATGAGTAGATACTGTATTTATTACAACGTCATACATTATTTGCACACCTGCTCTTATTGATAATTTTATTTCATCTTTATAGATATAAAACTATAAAGAAATAAACCATGTAAGTGTTTGGTATGGTTCATTCATATCTGATATTTCATACTTGAGGGCCTTTGATAATAAATTCTACTATAACTGCAAATGACTTCTGTGAAATGTCCCATCTGGTTTTCATTTGCAACGTTTCTCCATGATTACCAGAACACACAGAACCTGTGAAAGACCAACAATCTCAAGTGCAACTGCATCAACACCTCTCTTGGTTTACTGAATGACTCGTTCCCAGTCTTAGAGTTTTTGCAGTGGCCTATCAGACAACTTCCCTTTTTTATAAAGTGTCTATAGATTTTCTAGAAGATTCCATCAGTGCGGCAGTCTGATGAACCCCAATCAGACTTAACAGATCCACAAAAGATTTCTGATAAGATATGAAATGTTTAGAACACTGCCAAAAACACACGTTCACTCACACACACACTAACATAGAGATCACACATCACCTTGACTGCCTCTCCATGAGTGACTCGGTCAAACACCATGTTATTGACTTTCATGATCTGGTCTCCAACTCTGAGCCCCTCTCTCTCAGCGGATGATCCCGGCTCCACCAAAGACACATAGATGCCAACTCCATGCTCTGACCCACCCCGTATGCTGAATCCCAGGCCTTCGTGGCTCTTGCTTCTTTTCAGCGTAACTTGGCGGATTTCATCAGGCGCTTCCTGCATCAGCGCTGGCGCTGTCCCCTCAGCCGTGGTGCTGAAGACAGGAGCCGCGCGAACGGATCCGTGACTAGGACCGGCCTGCTCGGACTCGTGCAGAAAGTGCACCGAGGATGCTCCTACATGCGCGTTCGTGCTGCTGATGTCTTCCGAGCACTCATGTTTGACACTGGCTGCCAGAAGATCCGTTTTCAGATAAAGCCCTTCCGATGTGTACTGGTCGAACAGCAGCTGGTCCGAGCGGGGTATAACCAGGCGCAGCATGGGTAACAGTTGGCGCTTGTTGGGTGTGTTGAGAATGACTTTGAGAGTCTGGACGAGATCAAAGACATTGCGCTTGGCGTGGTAAACGTTGAGACAGTGGATGAACTGCTCCCTTTCGAAGTCGTTGAGCAGCACGTTGAGCGCGTTGTGCAACTTCTTGACGTTAACGGAGAGCGCGCGGCCACCGGAGCCCAGGGAGTTCGTGCCCGACTTGAGAGAAGCGCGCTCTAGATCCGTGCTCATTCTCGGACACCTCAAACCCACAGGGGGATTTCACATCAGGCATTAGGAACAGAGCACGGTCACGGTCTCTTGCTAAAAACAGAAATGCACCACGATTCGTGCGTTAAACTTGTGGCGAGACCAGCCATGCTGAAGTCTTCGTTCGCTCAAACTAACAACACTAATACAGCAAAATGGCAGAATAACTAGTGCAATAAAGTTTCGAAACTTTTGATTATAAATAAAATGTGTTTAATAATAACTTTGAATGCTATATATAGTGGAAAAAGTATACTGTTCTTCCAAAGGCAAACAACAAACCCGAATTAAGTCCCGCGAGGATTTGACGTCCGTAATAGTGACTTTAATCCTTTTGGTAACACAATGTGCGAGGAGAAACGGGTGGTGAGACGTGTCCAGCACCGAGAAAGAAACAAAAAACACAGCGCGAACGTTTCGAGTTTGCCAGCTGCGCTCAGCAGAGGAGCGCGTGTGGTCAGTGTGGCTCGTTCGGATTTCTTGTCGCTACTACTACTGAATGAGACACCGACGCGGGCGCTCGGGAGGAAATGACGCACGCGCGAGGCGCCTCTGTTGCTTAGGAACAAACAACTGTGAGGAACGCATTTGGACAAACTACACCACATCTTTCCTGTGCGTGAGCTATTTTTAATGTTCAAGGCCCAATGGCCCATCGAGCTATTGACGTTAATCAATTGAAAAATAAGTCGTTTCCAAAGAGCTTTGCGCACTTAACGTGAAAGTTCTCACAGTCGAAACCACAGCCGCCTGATTTCAACTTTACAGATATGTGCCATAGGCAGATCGGTCCGTGTATCATCCTAACATTCAGTTATTCCATTCAATCTGGTAAAAGAAAAATTGTAAAACCAGTAAATGTTTCGTTTTTCTGTATGAACCAACCAAGTATTGAAACTTGGCTTTCCATGAAGAAATACACTCGAGAAATGGAAAGATGGCTCGTTTTTTCGTTTTGTTTAACAAACGGTAAACGAGATTTTGGCTCGACATCGACATCAATCCGTGTATCGTTCGATCATTCGTTTTTTTATTTAATATTGAAAATAGAAAAACGAGAAAACGGCTCATTTATTTTTTTTTTTTTCCAAAAAAACGAGAATTCAGCTTAAATTTACGTTTTTCGTTCATGGGTGGAAAAATGAATAAACAGCTTGAATATTTGATTTCTACATGTGGGCGGGAATTAAACGCCCTTTTCTGCTGATTGGTGAGTAGAAGATCAAACCATGCCTTCATCAGTTCTTCTGCAGTATCATGCAGCAGAATAATAGTTCTCCACTGCTGCAGTTGTACGGATTAATAACCCATTTTATCAATTTCAAATTTTTCATCAAACAAACAGACTAATGAATAGCTCGACACAACTTGTACCGGGGCAGAGTCTAGACAGGGCTTTCTTCTGTGTAGACCAGCGGTTCTTAAAGTGATAGGGGGTCCGAGAAATAATTAGCTTTAAGCACGTCTCGGTCTCCTTGAACATCTTTCTGGCGCATGCCACAAACATGAATCACAGGGATTACTCGTCTTTTAAAAGGCTTCATTTAGATTATTTTACATTAAATGCATCATATAAGTCACTTTGGAATAAATGACAGTAGGCCTATGTATCATGATTAAAAAAACGACTTTACAGTCTGGAAACACTTTAGGCTATAGCAAATTATTTCTCGGACCCCCTATCACTTTAATTCATTTGACTGTTTGTTTGATGAAAAAAAGATTAAATGCAGTTGCAATAAATGCGTTAAGAATCCATATAACTGCAGCAGTGGAGGACTATTATTCTGCTGCGTGATACTGCAGAAGAACTGATGAAGGCATGGTTTGATCTTCTGCTCACCAATCAGCAGAAAAGGGCGTTTAATTCCCGCCCACGTGTAGAAATCAAATATTCAAGCTGTTTATTCATTTTTCCACCCATGAACGAAAAACGAAAATTTAAGCTGAATTCTCGTTTTTTGGAGAAAAACGAAAAAACGAAAAAGGAGCCGTTTTCTAATTTTTCTACTTTCAATATTAAATAAAAAAACGAATGATCGAATGATACATCGAATGACATCTCTTATGTTGTTTGTGGTTTACAAATCGGTTTATGGCTTTAATTTTTCATTCGCGCCTGTAGGCGGCGCTGAAACGCCCCTTTCATTTGATTGGTCAAACAGCCACGTCTTCTGTACTGCGTTCATTTATACGCTGGCTGATAGTGCGGATCATTTATTACTTTTATATGTAATAATAACATTAATTATGATTCTAAAGTAGGCCCTGCCTGTTTTTCTAGGTGCCATTGACAAATACTATATCACTGGTTAATTATTAAAAGTGAAATGTTTGGGTGTTACTGTACTTTCGCTGGGCCTATTGCAGAGCTAGCCTATAAAAAGAGAGCAGGGATGAACCAGAGTCATGATACTAGTTTTAAAAGAAACAAAAGTATTTTAAAATAACGAATATTTTATATTTTAAAATATATCTCACCAAATCATTAATTCAGGTCCTATATTTGTCTGTTTTTTTTTCGCTTCCAAAACTGTATGAGATGTAAAGTAAAGTCAACTTTAAAGTATTTAAATGCACAGTATAAATTAGTGGTTTTCCAAGACCTATAGCTACACAATGGTGCCTCCCCCATTTTTAAAACATTTTTAATACAAATAGCCTAAGCATAAGTCAAAATCAAACTGTGGTACCAAACAGGACAACGTTCTTTCTTAAAACTTTAGATCAAAAACATTATTTATACATTGTTTATTAAAGCAATAAGCCCCAAGAAGTCGTGGTTTACAGTGAATTTATAACAGCTAAGGGGCGTTATTGGGCACGACGATTTTTAGAACATATTTATTTTAGTTGGGAAGATGAGCGCTGGGAAGATTAATTTATGCATTATTATCATCAATCTGCAATCAAACATAAAAGTTGCACCAGTATGTTGCTAAGGGTAACAGTGGAACATCCAATTTTGAGATCAAAAATATTTGACCTATCAATGCCGCAACTGACCAATCAGATTTAAGTATTCCAGAGTGCCGTTAAATGCAGAGAAACATCCAGAATAGTAGTGACCTCAATACATTTTTCAGTAATCATTAATGAAAAACACTTGATTATGATTAGCATCTTCCTTTAGAACACTTTAAAAAGAAACATCTCAGTGCAGATGAAATGTTAAAAGCCCTTACATTTCAGTCTTTCAGCTGATTTCTTACCCTAAGTTAAGACAGGGCAGTGAAAGTTGTTTTGAACAGATTTACAAAACGAGGGCAGTGTTTGGACGTGTGTGTGTGCTTCATTTGAGAGTGCTCCATTTATACCTGAAGTTTTTTAATCCCTTGTGTCTGCCTGGGAAAGGAGAGTAATGTCAGATCTAAAAACCCAGCTCTGCTCAAATCAGGTTGGTGTTGTGAGAACCCAGCTCTCACAGAGGCTGACTAATACTGCATATGCTGAGAAAAGCTGCATAATCCATAATGCACATTCATGTGAGTCCATGAATTGTTTTGTATAAACAATAATAATTATCCTTATTAGGCTGTCTGATGTGCTTAAAAGACATCCAGCAAGGTTTTAGGCCAGACTATGGATTTCAGCTGCTGAGGAATCTCAGTTAAATCCCACGTGTCGTCCTTTAAGATCATAAAGAGGAATTAGAAAGGTCTGTCAGCAGACATCAACAACTGATTAGTACACCAATAGCCTCACTGAGGACTATTAATGAACTCATATGGACAATGCTGCCTTTAACACTGTAATTAACTTTACTTATATATTTATCAGTTTCAAGCGTATCTGCATTGACCCAATCCACTTTTAATCTAGTGCGTTTTACTGGCACGACAGCAACAAAAGTACATTTGTTTTGCCAAAGCACTCACAGCAGCTGTATACATTGGAGCTAAATAAAATAATAAAAAATATCAATAATACAAATTAAACAAAACAGAGTGCAGCATAATAAAATAAACGTGAACAAGTACTAAACATTAAAATAAATTACAATGTAACTCTCAGTAGTTAAATGACTAAAACAGTAAATTAAAAATGATAAGGCAAGGCAAGTTTATTTATACAGCACATTTCGTACACAATGGTAATTCATAATAATTCCTAATGATAATGAGACTAAAGATTTACAGACCCTCTCAGCTGAACTTTCTTCGTCCTTCCGGGTGTCCAACCCATTGATTTACAGCCCTTTAAGATGGTGACATTGCAGCAAAAGTCTCAAATTCATTGCTAATTTGCAATTACTGCTCCTGGCATCAGTGCATGGTGGCAGAAATTAATGAACAATTAATGGGCCTAAATGAGACAATGGAGATGCTCATTGATCTTTATGCACTGTAGAAGTGAATACACTTCAGCTGTAAGTCACGCATAACTATGACTCACTTATACCAAAGACACACATACACATTCAAAAGTGCTTCAAAATGTCTGCCAGAAATTCAATCAAGTGCTGAAATACCACATATCTTCCCTCGTCCTTTCTTTCTCCCAACACGTAAGTGTGTTTGTGAGAGTGATTTAATAAAGCTGTGTGGTTGGGATGGTTTAACCTAATTTGAGTAATTCTTGTTCTCTTGACTTCAAATTGAGACTCCAGGGGGAACTGCACCATCACAGTTGGCTGTTTTCTGCTCTCCACTTTCTGGAAAAAGAGTCCCACATTATCTTTTGAGTACAAAGCAAGTGATGTACTGAATAAACAACTAACTTTTATGATGGGTTGTGCAGTCAAGGCCATTAAATTGCAGCCATTGGCTGTGCTACACAAATACAGTTCACTTACATCTCCTATATATATATATATATATATATATATATATATATATATATATATATATAAATGAATTACAGAAGGTTTTGACGCTGAAACTTGTTAAACTGTTAACCCTGACACCTATACAACACCATTTACAACAGCTCATAAACCCAACACAAAATGTCACTCTTTAACAAATAAAACCAGGGACAGAAGGTAGGAGGGGAAGAACTGATCGGTAAACATTGGGTCAGAATGTGGCTTTGATTAATTGTATAATGTTTAATGGGAATTGTGGGAAATGTGCATCACGCTGGGCTCTGCCAACCCCATAATTACCGCAATATAAAAGAGCAGAGGGATTGTATGCTGCAGTGCCATGCCCCAGTGCCCAGTCTGACAGAGCACACCACGCCATTAAACACTGCATTACGGATACCTCGCTGAGGTGTATTCAGCTCTCACTACAGGACAGGGGTGATTTAAAAGCCATTTTATGACATCTGACCAAGTTGGAAATAAAATCTGCCAGCGCTGTGTATTGTATGGGTGTGATGCAAGTTAAATCATCTCGTTCTGCTGCACCGCTGTTCAGTTTGTATATGATAGATAGATACTATGTCAGCTGCAGGTTAAGAAGAGGTGGGTGGCAATGATGTAAACTAAAGCTGGCGTCCCATGGAGCACTA